TGTGACTTGTCTAGTTTGGCATCTCGAAGGGCCTTCTCTACGGGGTCCAGGGTTCCACGGAACAGATCAGCATTCAATTCTTCAAATCGGGCACGGGTAATGGAGGTATAGAAATCGATTCCTTCATAGAGAGAATCGATCTCAATACTGGCTGGGTGCTGGAAGAGAGAGTACGCTTAGCACGCTCACAAGCAGTACGGAGGCGTCTTACAGCTCTCTTGTTCTCACTTACGTCCTTCTTATGTTTGCACTTGAACTCAGCAATGAAATGGTTGATCATTCGGTTATCAAAATCTTCTCCACCCAAGTGGGCGTCTCCGGCTGTAGACTTGACCTCAAAGATTCCATCCTCAATAGGGAGGATTGACACATCAAAAGTGTCACCTCCCAGGTCAAAGATCAGCACGTTTCTTTCAGCTCCAACCTTTTTGTCTAAGCCGTAAGCAATAGCAGCAGCAGTTGGCTCATTAATAATTCTAAGTACATTGAGACCAGCAATAGTTCCAGCATCTTTGGTAGCCTGACGCTGAGAGTCATTAAAGTAAGCGGGCACTGTGACCACAGCATTGGTAACAGTCTTCCCAAGGTAGGCTTCTGCAATTTCCTTCATCTTTGTCAGAACCATAGAGGATACCTCCTCTGGATAGAAGCTTTTTGTCTCTCCCTTGTATTCTACTTGGACCTTGGGCCTGCCAGCATCATTCACCACCATAAACGGCCAATGCTTCATATCAGACTGGGAAACAGCATCATCAAATCTGCATCCAATCAGACGTTTGGCATCAAAAACCGTGTTGGTGGGGTTCATTGCAACTTGATTCTTTGTGGCATCACCTATCAATCGCTCAGTGTCCGTAAAGGCGACATAGCTTGGAGTGGTTCGGTTTCCCTGATCATTGGCAATTATTTCTACTTTTCTGTACTGGAAAACACCCACACAAGAGTAGGTGGTGCCAAGATCAATACCAACGGCAGGTCTCTTCGACATGGTTGCTGGCATGTAGGCCTGGCCCCGACAACGAAGAAAACCACAGTAATCCTGAGAGTTGCAGAGGAGTTCAATGAGCGAAATATTTATTCTTGCCAAGGCGGTTCTGCTTAAATCAAATCAAGCTTACAGACATTTATCTCAGTTTACAGAAGATATGGGAGATAAAGGGATGTCAAGTGGAAAGAATTATACCAATTCAGAAAGTGGGATGTTATGCAATTTAACCCTCCCAGCCTCGCAGAAGCAAGCAAATTGGGAAACCATTCAGGAGAATTCAAACACATCACGGTTAACTACAATGTGTGGTTAGTAATTAGAGCATGGTTTGAAAACATCAACCTGGCCAGGCGGTGGTGGCTCACACCTGTAATCCCAGCACTTTGGGAAGCCGGGACGAGCAGATCACCTGAGGTCGGGAGTTCGAGACCAGCCTGACCAACATGGTGAAGCCCCATCTCTACTAAAAATACGAAATTATCGGGGCATGGTGACGCATGCCTGTAATCCCAGTGTCTTGGGAGGCTGAGGCAGGAAAATTGCTTGAACCTGGGAGGTGAAGGTTGCAGTGAGCCACGATCGTGTATTGCACTCCAGCCTGGGCAACAAGAGCAAAACTCCATCTCCAAAAGAAAAAAAAAAGTCAGCTATACAAGACATTTTGGGAGAAATTGAGGAAATTTGCGTGAGAACACATGACATTAGGGAATTGCTGTTACTTTTTTAGGTGGGATAATTCTACATGTGGTTATGTAGAACAGTGTCCTTTTTTTTTTTTTTTGAGATGCTTGCTGAAATAATTCGAGGCTATATGACAGGATGTCCTTACTGTGAAATGTTCTTTTCATTTATTCATTTATTTATTTATAGACAGAACCTCACTCTGTTGCCCAGGCTGAAGTGCAGTGGAGAAATCTTGGCTCACTACAACTTCTGCCTCCTGGGTTCAAGCAATTCTCCTGCCTTATCCTCCCAGGTAGCTGGGATTATAGGCACCCGCCAGTACGCCTGGCTAATTTTTGTATTTTTTAGTAGAGACTGAGTTTCACCACTTTAGTGAGGCTAGTCTCGAACTCCTGACTTCAGGTGATGCACCTGCCTCAGCCTCCCAAAGTGCTGGGATTACAGACATGAGCCACTGCACCCAGCCCTGAAATATTCTAAGAAAAAAATTCAGGCTGGGCACCGTGGCCTCTCAGCAATTTGGGAAGCTGAGGCAGGCAGATCACAAGGTCAGGAATCTGAGACCAGCCTCACCAACATGATAAAACCCCATCTCTACTAAAAACACAAAAGTTAACCAGGCATGGTGGCGCGTACCTATAATCCCAGCTACTTGGGAGGCTAAGGCAGGAGAATCGCTTGAACCCGGAAGGCAGAGATTGCAGTGAGCCAAAGTCACGCCACTGCATTCTACCCTGGGTGACAGAGCTAGACTCTGTCTCAAAAATAAAAAAAAAATTCAGATAGATAGATGATTATGGCAAAATGTTGACTAAATTTTACTACAACATTGGGCCTGTTCTTTTTGCTTTTCTGTCTGCTTAAAATTTTTCATAATAGAAAGTAAAAATTTAAAAGTCTCAGAGTCAGCAATGACAATACTACAGGATCCAACTAAATATTTTTTTTTTTCCCTGAGATAGGATCTCACTGTCACCTGGGCTGGAGTGCAGGGGCACAATCTCGGCTCACTGCTTACTACAACCTCCGCATCTCAGGCTCAAGTGATCCCACCTCAGCCTCTAAAGAATAGCTGGGACCACAGGTGCATGCCACCATGCCTGGCTAATTTTTTTACTTTTTGGTAGAGATGAGCATTTGCTATGCTGCACAGGCTGGTCTTGAACTCCTGAGCTCAAACGATCCACCTGCCTCAGCCTCCCAAAGTGCTGGGATAACAGGTGTGGGCCACTGCACCCAGCCTCCAAACTAAATATCTTTTTTTTTTCTTTTTCTTTTTTTGAGACAGAGTCTTGCTCTGTCACCAGGCACCAGGCTGGAGTACAGTGGTGCAAACTCGGCTCACCGCAACTTCCGCCTCCCATGTACAAGCAATTCTCCTGCCTCAGCCTCCTGAGTAGCTGGGACTACAGATGCACGACACCATGCCAGGCTAATTTTTATATTTTAGTAGAGACGGGGTTTCACCATGTTGGCCAGGATGGACTCGATCTCTTGATCTTGTGATCCGCCCGCCTGGGCCTCCCAAAGTGCTGGGATTATAGGCATGAGCCACCGCGCCCAGCCCAAACTAAATATCTTGAACAATTCATGGCCGGGCATGGTGGCCTACACCTGTAATCCCAGCACTTTGGGAGGCCAAGGTGGGCAGATCACTTGAGAACACAAGTTTGAGACTAGAATGTCCAACATGACCAAACCACGTCTCTACTAAAAATACAAAAAAAAAAAAAATTAGCCAGATGTGGTTACCATGCCCATAATTTCAGGAACTCGGGTGACTGAGACATAAGAATCACTTGAACCCAGGAGGCAGAGGTTGCAGTGAGCCGAGATGGTGCCACTGCACTCCAGCTTGGGCGATAGAGCAAGACTCAGTCTTAAAAAAACACCAATTTGCCCGAGATGAGTTACCATTTTACTAAGCAAATGAGCATTCAGAACACCTTGCACAGATAATTCTTATTCTGTTGACATCAGTCACAGTGTTTCTATATCCAGGAACTTTACTCAGAAGATAGAGTCACTCTACCATGAGACAATGTACATTTTAAAACAATTACTCACATTTTAAAACCTCAACTCACAGCGGGTGTGGCTCTTCCAGGTTTTTCGGAAGGTTAAAACATTTTTTAAAGGCAGCCTCTTCTTTCAGCCAAAATATTCCTTAGCTTCCCTGTAATTTCTTTGCCTCCAAGACCTTCAGCATTTTTCAAATTTCTCTTGCCAAATCAAGAATTTATATTTTTTAAAAATCATTTTAGACCCAACATTGTTTTTACATTGACATGTGGGAAGATAGTTTGCCGGATCGTGGGACATGGGGGGTTCTTTTGAGGTTTGGAGATAGTTTCTATCCCTCTATGCCCAGTCAGTCCTCCCTAGGGGAAGTAGTCAGAAACCAAGACACAGTCCCCCTGTGCCAGGCTCCCTACTCCTCATCCAGGCATCCATGCCAATTGTCCTCTGGCTACAGCCAGGTTTATTGCACTTTCAGAAGTACCTGTCCATAGTTTAAATGCCTGATCCACACAATGAGACATCACTTCACACCCTTTAGGATGGCTACTATCTAAAAAGCAAACAAACACAACAAAACAGAAAATAACTAATGTTGAGGATATGGAGAGACTGGAGTCCACATTCATTGCTGGTGGGAATGCAAAATGGTATAGCCCTATGGAGAGCATTATGGCAGCTCCTTGAAATATTAAGCATGGAATTACCATATGACCCAGCAACTCCACTTCTAGGTATCTTCCCGAAAGAACTAAAAGCAGGGGCTCAAACAGCTATTTATATACCAATGTTCATAGCAGCATTATTCATAATAGCCAAAAGAAATACCCCAAATTTCCATCAATAGATGAACAAATAAATAAAAGGTGATACATAAACATTAATACAAGGAAGTATTATTCAGCCTTAAAAAGAAACAGAGCAGGCAAACCTGGTAGCGCTTTTGTGAAGCCAAAGATAAGGAGAGACTCTGGTGCTGGCCATGCTGAAGAAAAGCTCAAAGGAGTCAAGGTGTAACAACAATTATATTAATTTGAAAATGGTGGGTAACGATGGTTCCATGGCGCAGTTTAAAATTAAGAGGCATACACCACTTAGCAACCTATTGGAAATCTGTTGTGAATGGCAGGGTTTGTCCACGAGGCAGATGGGACTCCAATTTGACAAGCAGCCAATCAATGAAATGGACACACCTGCACAGGTGTAAATGGAGGCTGAAGATACAATTAACACGTGCCAGTATCAGAGAGGAGGTGTCTATTACAAAGGAAACCTGCTACTTTTCACCAGAACTCTGTTCCTACAGACCAAGAATACGCTCTCAGTTAGATACCACAATTTGCAGCTGGGCCTGGTGGCTCACACCTGTAATCCCAGCACTTTGGGAGGCGGAGGCGAGTGGATCGCTTGAGCTCAGGAGTTCAAGACCAGCCCGAGCAACATGGCAAAATCCCAACTCTACAAAAATAATTTTAAAATTAGTCGGGTTTGGTGGCTCGCACCTGTGGTCCCAGCTACTCGGGAGGCTGAGGTGGGAGGCACCTCCAGGAGGTTGAGGCTGTAGTAAGCTGTGATTGCACAACTGTGCTCTAGCCTGGGTGACAGAGTGAGACCTGTCTTAAAAAAAAAGAAAAGAAAAAGAAAACCACAATTTGGTTACACCACACCCTGACTACTACAGTATCATTTTCTCTATCCTTTCATTTCCCTTTCCCTGTTTCTCTATTTTACATAAAGTAATTGGTATGTGTGCAAGTATATTGTTTTTTGGTTTTGTTTTTGCTAAATGGCCAGTGGTATGTTTTGATTGACATCCGATGGAGACGGGATGGAGAAAAACATTCTGTGAAAATATCACCTTTTTCCGTGAGTGGCATGCTGGTGCAGCTCTCATCTTTATATTCCAGTAAGTTATTTTGCTCTCACTATTTAAGCAAAACACACATGCACACATAAAAATCCTTGCCTACCTTGCTTGCTTGGAGAATTTCTATCTTTTTATCATTGTAAGATCAAGGACAACTTTATAATTTACTGTTAAAGGTCAATCTGTCTTTAAGTAGGGATAAATTACTCTAGAAAAAAAAAACTAGATAGTTTTCCCTTCAAATCAAGCATCTTGTTGTTTAAATAAACTGCTTGTTTAAGGAAAAAAAAAAGGAATAAAGTCCTGATTTGTGCTACAAGATGAGTGAATCTTGAATGCATTATGCTACGTGAAATAAGCCAGACCCCAAAGGACAAATACAGTATGATTGCACTCATATGAGATCCCTGGAATAGCCAAATTCATAAAGAGAGAAAGTAGAAAGAGTACTGGTTACCAGGGACTGGAGGGAGGAAAGAATGAGGAGTCACTCGATGTGCACAGTTT